TGTTGGTGTTGTTGGTTTCCGTGAAACCTAGAGCTCCAACTACGTACCTTCGAAACTCGAAGGTGGCACTGGGATGGGTGCGGCTCCAAAGACCTGCCAGGAGGCACCTATAGAGCCCCCAAAAGGGTTTGTGAAACCCAAAGCGAAACAAAGCTAGTCTACTGTAACTCACGTCATGACACCTGAAGTCGGCTCCATCATCCGTACACAAGAAACACCTAGAAAAGCAAACAATCATACACACATGCTCCGATTGATATGGACGCTGAAGAACGGCGAGGACCTGATCCAATCGTCGCGACAAGATGCCAAGACCTTGGCCAAGCTGTGTAGGCCGGGATGACGCTCGACGTCACAAAACGAACCGGCCAATGCTCAGGATGAAATGGTATTTGATTTGGATGTCTTTCAGGTAAGTACTGTATGGTGCGTGTTTGATTTTGGTGTTGGATTTGGTTCGAGCTGTTTGAGCGTGCTTTGAAGCAGACTGGGACTGTCAAACCACGCTCACCATGGAGCCGTTTCCTTTTAAAGTCAGATACAAATTCTCAGCCACCTTGTTGATTCTCTCCACAAACACCTTACCCTCGCTCCCTCGTCTCTTTCCGCCAGTGCGGCCTATGACGAGGGCGCAGCCTGCAAGCAGTTCTTGGCTGATGCAGAGGAAGCCGTCCTGGCCTTGGCCAAAGAGTGGCCTGGAGCGAAGCGTTTCGCGTTGAGCCGTTGGCGTTGGCGGAGTCAGCGCGGAGCCGGCCCGATAGGCGGAGTCGTCGCGGGGAACGGGGCGATGAAGAGACATTCCTTGGGGTGGTTGTGTGATGTGTTTGTGCTATTGACGGTTGATGACGGTTGGTTATTGCTACACTCAGACCTACTGATATGGGGGTGAACAATTGCCTGGAGCAATGTTCCTCTACAAACAGGGTGCTTCAGTGCTTTCCAACTTTTATCACATTGAGTCGGAGTGTATTGGACATGGTGTTCCTTTATGCATGCTTCAAGTAAACAACTCAAACGACATGGTCGGTGGCATCGAAGGATTTTGAAGTCTAGTTACAAGAGCTCCAGAACAGCAGAACACCCGGAGGCAATCATGGGGAGAGGGGAGCGAAGAAGCCCAGTGGCGCCCAAAGCAACCTGAGAAGCAGATAGTGCCTCTACCGCTGCACAGGCGTGCACACGCGTGCACACGCGTGCACACGCTGTCTCTTGCAGGTTGGAGGAGCAGTGGGACAAATCCAAAGCCCAAAGCTGCAGTGAATCTTTCGCTGAGCTGGTCCAGGACGGGAAAGTTGTGTGCTTCTGCATTCGGCTTTCTCAGCCGCAAAAGCTTGGGTTTTGAGATGCAAGGGTTGAAGATGCCTAACTGTTCCTGGCCCAACCATAAACAATCGTAGGGGACAATTAATATTACCCATGAGTCATAATTACCACAGTATGCAGTTTGCAACGGTATTTAGAACTGTGGTTGTGCAAACCATGCTTCCATCAGCTTTCAAACCAGCATGAAACCATGCACTTCGCTCATGGCTCAAGAAATGTCCGTTCGAGGGCGACATGTTTTCGCTCTAACATCAGGTTATGAGCCCAAGTCCACCTCATTTTTGAGTTGTTGGCTCCCATGTCGGATTTCATGCGCCGGCGCAGCGCCTCGAGAGATCGACCTGAGAAGGTCAAGGATCCTCATGACCGACCTGGTCAATTGAGGGTCGGAGCGGCAGACGAAAGGCTGGACTCCCTCCTTGAAGAGGAAGCCAGGACTGCAAGAGCATCATCCATGCCACCCAGATCTGCAGCTGTGCGGCGGCTGGCGGCCGATGCTCGCGGCGATGCACGGGCGACTTCTTCGACAACGGCAGCAACTCAGGATCGAAGCCGGGCGGATAGAAACTCGGCTCAAGAGGGTGGCAACGGTTGGAGGTTGGCTCCAGGGCAAGATGGGTGGTCAGAGACGGTGCGGCAATCCCTAGAAGTGTTGCAAAGGGCTTTCGGTCCTGCCGGACAAGGGTCGGGAACCTACACGGCACCTCCACCATCACAGAGCCTGTTGGGACCACTCTTTCAAGAACCACCTCATGGGGGGCAAGTGGGCATGATGTCATCGCCTCAACTACCAGTGCATCCTGGGGGAGAAAACACTGGGCAAAGCGGTGGCCTTGGTCCGCGGCCTCGAGATCTTGACCCTTACTTCATTTCCACACCTCCTCAACAGAGTCAGGGCAATGTCAATCCTTTTTGGAGTGACCCTGGTCGAAGAGAGGCACCAGGAAGTCGCACTGAGCCGGAACAGCCCCGACCTGGAGATAGAAGGAGTCCAACGCAGCAAGAAGTTGAAGCAGTTCGAGAAAGAGTTCTGCGAGAGGCGGAGGAGCGCTTTGCCAAGGAGATTCGCAAGATCTCTGGTGGAGGTGACTCGGCTTCCTTTGAGTCAGCGACAAGCGCTGGGGGTGAACGGGTTCCAACCTACGACAAGCCGAGTAGGCTGGATGCAGGTATTGAAGTTCCTCCAGGGTTGACCGGGGCACCACTCAAAGGCGAACCACAGACCAACCAACTTGCGGTCCCAGAAACTGTTCGAAGTTTGGAGCTGCCGGCATTACCTCATCCAGCAGTGGAAGGTGCAGCACTGCAGTTTGGCGATTGGTTGGTGCTGGTCTACCCCCTGATGTCGGACCTGTCGGCAACGTCTCAGCAGTGGTGGGAAGGAAGCCTGGCCGCAGCGAGACGATTGTATGAGCAATGGTTGGTGGCATCCCCATTGGACAGGTTGAGACTTCGGCCCACGGAAGCTAGGGTGGATCCACTTCATCTCAGGGTGGAGCAGCGAGGAGTGGCCATGTTGATCGGCGTGCTGCCAGAGCAGTTGAGGAGGGACATCATTTCTGCAGGAAGTCCCTCGACGATCAGCATCTTGTTCAGGCTCCACGTGGTGTTCCAGCCGGGAGGAGGTGCTGAGAGGACGATTTTGTTGAAGAGTTTGACGGAGGTCAAGGTGAGCAACAATGTTCCGGACTTGCTGGTCACAATGCGTCAATGGCGACGCTGGCTGCAACGAGCTGAGGATTTAACCCTGACGCTCCCAGATCCAGTCATTTTGATGCAGGTGCTTGGGAAGCTGATGGACTCAGTGTCGAAGCTGGGAGGCAGTCAGATGGCCTACAGAATTTCGACAGTTCGCCAGGAGTTGATGGTAGATCAAAGACCAGAGCTCAGAGCGATCAAAGATCTTGGTGAGTACCTTCAGGCAGAACTGGAGGATTTGTCGCTCATGTCATCGGTGCCCAGGAGCTCTTCGGCAACGGCATCTGGAGGCCAATCCTCAGGGACTCAGGCATTGGCAGTGAAGGCTCTCCAGACAACGTCAGCGGTGGAGGAGAGGCCAAAGATGGCATGTAAGTTTTGGGGCACCACTCAAGGGTGTCGAAGGGGTGAGCAGTGCACCTATGCCCATAATTGGGAGAATATGGAGAAGCAGAATCGGTGCTTCGTCTGTTCAGGTGAGAACCACTTTGCCAAGGACTGTCCAACCAAGAAGCCTAAGGACTCAAAGCGAGTGGCGAAGATAAGAGGCTCGCAAGGGGTCAAGGAGGCCGGGTTGAAGGAGTCGGAGGGGGTGGAAGAAGTAAGAAAGGAGGATGAAGTCACCACGACTACTTCCAAGTCGAGTCAGGGGTCCTTGAAGAGCTCGTCGGCATCCGGGAGTCGGGAGATGGTGAAGGAAGGGAGTGCGGGTGGTGGAGCTCCGTCGGGAGGGGCAGATGCCACGACGGCTCTCATCTCGGAAGCGACCACGCTGCTGAAGTCGCTTCGATCGCTCAAGGCCTGTAAGGTCAAACAGGTGCTACATCCAGCAGTCGGCCGAGAAGAGCTGGTGGCATTGTTGGATGGAGGTGCAACACATCCGCTGAGGACGGCGGCTCCGGGTGAGAGAGATCACTTGGAACCAATACAGGTTGAGTTAGCTCATGGGTCAACAACCCTGTATCGAAAGGAGAACTGCAGCACACTACTTTCTCTGGATGAGGTGGAGCCAATAATTCCATTGAGTTTGTTGGTGCAGCATGGATTCCAAATCCAGTGGGCAAAGGATGGGTGCACCATCAAGCATCCAAGACAAGGTCCAATTCCATGCTGGCTGCGGGGGGGTTGTCCTGTGATGAATCGCCGACAGGCGTTGGAGATGCTCAGAGAGTTTGAGGAGATGGAGCAAGGTCGAGTGGACATTGAGAAGGAGGACATCGAGTGGTGGATTCAGAACATGCCAGAATTCCCCAGGGAACTTTTGACCTACATGAAGGGCCAATCGTGGAATCCATCAGGGGAAGAGTTGCCTTGGAACCGGAGACAGAGGAGATCTCATCAAACAGCGAAGGGTGTAGTGGTGCACCTGTTCTCGGGCGCGAACCTGACTCGCTGGAAGAAGACCCTGCCTTCAGGCTATGTTTGGCTGTTCCTGGATACGCAGCTTGGCTCCCGCTTTGATTTGCACTCACCGCCCATCTGGGGATATTTGTGCTCACTGGCTAAGCAAGGTCAGATTCGAGTTGTTTTGGGTGGCCCACCATGTCGAACAACCTCAAGGCTCCGCAACAAGGGACCGCCGGGTCCGCGAAGGGTTCGAGGGCGAGGACATGAGAGATGGGGCATCTCGCAACTGTCAGAGCAGGAAATCCAGCTGACAAACCATGATTCGGCTTTGGTGCTCAAGCAGGCTGGCCTTTGGAAGATGTGTCAACAGAGCCCGAAGAGAAGGTTCACTACAGGTTTTTTGTTGGAGAGCCCTCAAGATCCTGCAACATACTTGGACACGCCTGAAGGTCAGGAATCTCCGTCTTTCTTTGAATGGCCTCAACTACAACAGCTGTTGGAGGAGGACGAGAATATGAGAATGGTTTGCTTCGATCAAGGAGCGACTGGTCATTGCAGGAGAAAACCCACAGGACTGTTGACCAACCTACCTATGATGGAGCAGCTGGAACACTGCAAGGGGGGAGGAGCAACTGATCCAATTGGTGGGGAGCTTAGTCAGAGAATGGCAGCATCGAGGAGCTGGTCGGAATGGTCGCCGGGCTTTGTTCGTGCCATCCAGTACTCTCTGAAGGAGATGCTCAACGAGGACGATGACCCCGTCCAGGTGGCGAAATTAGACCTGGATCAATGGCGACGACATGTGAGGATGCAGCATGTGCCGTTTAGACGAGACTGCCGTGCTTGCGTCGAAGCGATGGGCACACAACATCCCCATCGGAGATCCAAGACAGCTTCTGCGGCCTTCACCCTGGCCATTGACATCATCGGTCCGTTCACGTCGGTCAAGGACCTTGCTACTGGAAGGATGGCCCGCTACGCATTGCTGGGAACTGTTCCAATTCCAGTTCCAGATCAGCTACCCAGTGCCCCGGAGGTAGAGACCTTGGAGGAGGAGCACCTGGAGGGGATTGAGCCGGTTGAAGGCTTAGATGAAGAAGAAGAAGTTGGAGACCAAGATCCGAGTCCCGGTGACGATGAAGAGGTCATGGGAGAGGCCATGGAGGAGAGTGAGGAGCCAGTGGAGCAGGTGGATCTCGAAGCGATTCAAGAGCTGAAGCGACCTCACGAGCTCCAGAACATCACGATGATAGAGATCTTAGAGGATCGAAGTGTTACGTCGCTGCTAGCGGGACTGTCACGACTACATGCTCGCTTTCGCTGTATGGGCATCAATTTGATGAGGCTTCACAGCGATCGAGAAAAAGGACTGCTTTCAAGAAGGGTGGCAACATGGTGTGGTCACAGACACATGACCCACACCTTCACACAAGGTGATGATCCCCAAAGCAATGGCAGAGCAGAAGCTGAAGTGCAACAAGTGAAGCGTCGGCTCAGGTTGATCCTTCACCAATCCCAGGTGGAACCTGATCTATGGCCTGGAGCGATTCGACATGCAGCGGAGGAACGGTGCCGTCAGCAACTCCAGCACCTTGGCATTGCAGTTCAACCAATGCATCGCTTCGGGGCCATGGTTGCAGTTCGATCCAAAAGATGGCACAAGGCAGGACAGATTGCAAATCCCTTCGTGTCCATGCAACTGGTAGGTCCAAGCCCATTGATGACAAGTGGCTGGGTGGTGAGACGAAACAACAAAGTCCAACATGTCAGGGCGGCAATCCAACCAGTACCTGAAGCAGATCAGGCCATCCTGGAACTACAGGCGATTGATGCAGAGGAGGTCAAGTATAGAAGAACTGGCAAGCAGCGGTTGGACCCTCATCCACTTGAAGATGCAATTCCACGGCTGTATGAGTCAGTGGAGCATGCAGCAAGGCCTGTCCTGGCAGCGTTGACACACTTCAGGACAAGGGGGGGGACCTCAGCCAAGGAAGAGACCTTCTTTCTGCAACCTGATCCTGGCACAAGAGAGGAAGAGCCAACTCAGGAGATGAAGGAATGCCCAGATTGCGGCCTGTTGCAGGAGCGAGGAAAACCTCAAGAACAGGGTCTACATCGAGAAGATCGAGGAGGTCCCTGTGGGTTTTGCGGGTGTCAGGAGGTGGGATGTGGAGTGAGATGGGAGGAGACACAGGTTCCGGGGGAGGAGATGTGTGACCAGGAAGCCTGCTCATGGACCCAAGCCCATCAATGGTATGAAGATGACCTGCAAAGTCATTGGGTTCTTAAGAAGATGTGGCTGGAGCAGTTGAACGTGACTCCAATGGGCCCAGATCAAGGTAGAGAACATGGCCAATGGCTGCAGGAGCTGGAAGAGAAACTTCGGGTTCAGGAGGAGTGCCTCAGCAAGCAGCATCAGGCTTTGGAGGCATGGAGGTTGGCAGCATTGAATGGTGGTCAAGATGAAGAGAAACCACCACTGGTTCTCCAGACCTACGCGGTCCCATTGGCTCAGGTGAGGAGAGAACTTCACAAGTGGGTGGAGCCTTTCAGAGATGAGTATACTTCTTTGTCCCAGACAACTCAGGCGATTCTTCCAACCACAGAGGAGGCCTTGAAGCTGGATCCTCGTTACCCCGACAGAGAAGAAGCTCCAGCGATGCTGGTTCCCACGGTGAAGAGCCCTCATGGTCGCCACAGGGCAAGGGTGGTCATTTGTGGAAATCACCTCACTCGTTCTCAAGCCGAGGAGAAGGTGCTGAGTCCTTTGGAAGCACCAGCGTCAACTTCGCCTTTTGCGCTCTATGCAGGGGGAGCAGATGCCACAGTGCTTAGAGCACTGTTGAGGAAAAGTGCTCTGGAAGGGTGGTCGACGGCCAGCCTGGACGTGAAAACAGCGTTCTTGCTCGCACCTCGACGAGATGCATCGCGACGACTGCTCATCACTCGCCCACCGCGGGTGTTGATCGAGGCTGGAGTATGCCAACCAGGTGAAATTTGGGAGGTCAAGAACTCCTTGTACGGGTTGCAAGAAGCACCAATCAATTGGGCGCTTTTCCGGGACGAAGAGATGGCTCGATTCCGGTGGGAGGACAATGGAGTGGGCTGGCGTTTGCTGAGGACCCAAGAACCGAACCTGTGGAAAGTGGTGCTGGAAAACCCAGAGAGGGTGAACATGCCGGACAAGGTCTACGCCTTTGTGGCAGTGTATGTTGATGACATTCTAGTTACTGGGGAAGATGTTGTGGCTCGATCAACTATTCGGAGGTTTCAAGATCAGTGGAAGTGTTCATCTCCGGAGTGGCTGTCACAGCACCACACCCTGAAGTTCTGTGGATTTGAGGTCTCTCAGGATCCTCGGGGAGTTCGTCTTCACCAGAGCGCCTACCTGAAGGATCTGTTGGCAAGGTATCCTGATTTGAAGACGGCACCAAGTCCACTGCCAGGTTGCCTGGATGATTCTGATGAGCCGGACCCTGATATTCAGGAAGTGCGACGGGCCCAGACACTGGTGGGGGAGCTTCTTTGGCTCGGGTGGATATCTCCTATGCGGTTTCTTGGCTGGGAAGGCATGTGGCTCGCTGTCCAGTTCGGGTTCAGAGGTATGGGAAACAGGTGTTGGGCTTCTTACAGGGCACCTTGGACTATGGCCTTTTGTACACTCACCATCCCAAGGGAGAACAGGATCCTGCGGAGGAAAGGGGCATCCACATGTACTCTGATGCCTCATTTGGTCCACCTGGGTCGCGAGGGCATCAGGGATTGATGGCGGTGTACTCTGGGGCCTTGATCCAATGGGAGAGCAAACAACAGCCATTTGGAACCCTCTCAAGCTCAGAAGCAGAACTCATGGGGTATACAGACGCCCTCACGATGGGCGAATCTTGCGCAACCATTGCAGCCATCCTGGAGAGTGGTGATGGAAACGAGGCAGTGGATTGTGTACTTCATGGTGATTCTCAGTCAGGCATCCGCATTTTGCAATCGCCCGACGGCCCGTGGAGGACGCGGCATTTGAGGCTGAGGAGCTTTGTGTTGAGGGAGAGGATTCGCACCGGTTGTTGGCGAGCAAAGCATGAGCCTGGAGCATCCTTGTCGGTGGACCTGCTAACGAAGTCAATAGTCAGTCCAGCAGCATGGTCAAGATTTTGTGAGTTCACGGGCTTGGGTGTGGGAGCTTCTATTGACCTCAACAACCAAGAGAACAGCTCACGTCTGAAGAAGCTGGTGGCACTTCTGAGTGGGCTGATAGGTGTAGCTTGTTGGCAGCCAGTGCAAGAGCTTGCGAAGGTTGCCAAGTGTGTCACTGTAGCTGCGGTAGCTGCTAGTATAGCATGTTTGATGGGAGGGAAAGGGAGAGAAGACCTTTCAAGAGATTGCAACCCGGCACTTGCTTGGACCAAGGCATCCAAAGAGAGCAGTGTCGAAAAAAGAAAGATTCAAGATGGGACAAGGGAAGATGAACCTGTCCTCACCATCGGACGCGACACTAGCCCCACGGGCTCCTCCGGCCGCGATCGATCGTGCAAGCCATGGATGCAGCAGCCGCCTCACTTGAGTGCTCTGAGGGCTCCGGTGCGGCATGTGGGCTTGGGCACCGACTTGCCTTGGGAGCTGATGATCGAGATTTCAATCACCGCCGACCGGAAACGATCGGTGGGAGTGCCTTGGTGTGGGATTGGGTGGAGGTGAATGGTGGGTGAGGGTTCTCAAGAAGTCCAGGGTCCGAGCATACCATCCACTACACAGAGGCACACCAATGTCAATCGGCAGCTTGTCTGCCACCCGGGTCACAGTGACCTTTTCTCGGGGAAATCCCCGCGAAGTGTGGAGGAGGACGGTCGTCACTGACGACTGGATTGAGAATCGAAATTGTGATGTCCACGGCATCTACGAGTGGTGTGGATCTTCCTTTTTCTATGTGAAGTTTGGGCCTTCGCGTGAGGGAGGCTCAGAAACCCAAGAACGGCATGGTTTTTCTCCAGGGCCAATACCTTCGCCTGGATCGGTGGCTCCAACTGGTGGCTATGGCAGCTTTCATCCTGGAGCATCCAGAGCAGCACAGCGGGGTCAAGCGGCCCTACCAAGAGATGAGCAGCGGGAGATAGGACGAGGTTGTGACGAAGGCACCACCTATGATGGAACGGGGTTCAGTGCACGAGGCAGTGACTTCATCGAGGGTGGCAGGATGACGGGCTATGATCTCCGCCTGCATGGATGCGGACGAAGGGGTGAGGTCGATCTTGACCCTGGCCGAGAAGCGAGGGAGCAAGCACAAGCCTCTGAGGATTCACTTCCGCCAGAGGCGGACCAGCTGCCGATTTGGATGGGCATTGCTACTGAGGTGGGACCACCACCGGGCCTGGGAGATCCCGACGATTCTACGTCGGATGGCAGCTTTTGTAGAGTGGACTGTAGATGAAAAACCTACGGTGCCGCAGATGACAGCGATGCTGTCAGGGGGAGTGTGGTTGTGCAAACCATGCTTCCATCAGCTTTCAAACCAGCATGAAACCATGCACTTCGCTCATGGCTCAAGAAATGTCCGTTCGAGGGCGACATGTTTTCGCTCTAACATCAAGAACAAATGATCTCGTTAACTAACAACAGGTCATGGGACTATTAACACCCAACCCCAATTTGAATCCCTCCCAATCCACCTGGCACTTACATCGCTTCGCAATGTTTTGCCAATCCAGTCGAGTTTCTGAGCCCACAGGAACTGAGTGCTGATGCGAACTTGTCCAGGCTTTTCGTGCCTTGACTGGATTCGGTGACCGCAGAAAGTAAGACTGGTGGCTCTTTCAGGTCTTTGCAAGATTTACCTGTGGAGGAATATGAATCTCCCGAAAACTAACATGGACCCTGACAATGGCACCCTGAAAGACTGTCTTCCTCTACGATCCGTGTTAGTTTTGAGCAGGGTAGAGGCTACCGATCAGATGCAAGCTCCTTTTGTCGGACATCATTCTACATGATGTCGCAGACATCATTTCGAAACGGCTTTGAAGCCTCGAACCTGGTACTCGTGTGTTCGGCAGCTTCACCAATATTCATAAGGATCAATCCGATAGAAACGGCTTGAAATTGAAATCTTTGTATAACCCAATCAACATGATAATATAGAACGATATGAATCAATCCGAAAACACCCCACCCATTTCCCATACTGTTTCGGGGTTGGTCCTGGGTTGGTGAAAGCATCACAGTCATGACACCAAAGGAGCTCGGTCCACAAGGTGCCTGTGTGGACGTCGCTCCACCCTTGGGACCCTCCGGAAAGCAGAGAAATAGAGAAGGAAAGACGGCTGAACAGCAGCTGCACTCCAAAAGTTACCTTCGGTGGAAATATATAAGCACTACATACAACCTCCCAAACCCGGCGCAGTGCGGGGCCACTGGGTGAAACTCCCCGTGCGCTCCATCGACCGGCCTTGGCCCCTTCCTCTCCGAGGAGGAGGTCCAGTCGGCCGGCTACCGTGCCTCGGAACGCGAACGCGGCCTCCGAGAGAAGGCCCCGGATGCCCGCGGTCAAGCGGTTGGACGGGTGGTTGGACGGGTCGTCCCGGAGGAAGCCGGTTTGAGCCGGTGGTTGGGGCCTAGGCTATGGGGCCCCAAGTAGACCAGTCTACTATAGGTGGATTTTTACATTTTGTTGCATGGGTTTTTATATAATGTAACCAGAAACCTGAGGCAGATGGTTCACAGGAAGCCTGAACTGGGACCCCCTAGGACCGCAGGTCCTAGCAGATTGGAAGTAAGTGATCTTCTATCCCTCGTTGAACGTGCTATTGACCGGCTTTTTGGGGGGCCGAGCAGCTGCTTTGTCACGCTAAAACCAGTTGGCCTGGTGTTGCTTTGGTTAACGTGGCCTTGGGGAACTCATGGGTTCCTGTCATTGCCTGTCACATTTGTTGAAGTAAGTGAGCTCAGAACTCAGAACTCGCTTGGAAACTACATGACTGGTATGAGTCGTCATCCGAAAGGTCAAACAGTTTCAGCCGGGTAAATGATAGTATATATATATATATATATATTTTTTTCAGAATTGCATGATTTAAGGCACCTAACTAAACATAACGAAACTCATGGACCATTTTAGGAGATGGATGGTGATGGTGTCTTATTGATTCTATTGGGATTTGGTCTGCAATCTTTCTATGTTTGCATTAGTTTAGTGCAATCTGAGCAATCTCAATGCAATCTCAGGGTGCCCATATTTGTACTCTCCCGTAAACTAACATTGAACCCATGAATTGACCGGTGGAAGACCATTTCCGAATACCAACCCAGTGGTCTTCAGGTTCCATGTTAAGCTGCAGGGGAGTATGTTTTATATAGTATTATAGACTAAGTCCGAGTCTCTAGAGTCTAGAGTCACATGACAAGCTTTTCACGTATGTCACCGTGACGAATTCGGCAGCAGCCGGGTCTTCCGAAGGGACCCCCACCAATCTGTGAAAAAATCATTCAAAATTCAATGCGTTCGAAGCCCCGCTTCAGTTTTTGGGCTGAAGATTTCTGTTGGTTTGCAGGTGCTTGGGAAGGTTGCCAGGGCAGGGACGACCCTCTCTTTGTTTCATGCGAAGAAGTGGTTCCCAGAAAGCAAGTCCACTTGGAACCCCGACTTGCCTCCCTCTCCGCAGGCGGAGGCAGTCTTGCAGCAAAAGGCCCACGGTGAAGTGACTGATATAGCGGCATGAGCGGCTGAAGTGGTATTTGGAAGATGGTGATCCAAGGTCCATGAATCAATTTTCCACTTCCATGATTATTTCACGGAGCGAAGTACCTTGGATGGGGAAGGCCCCAGCCACAGTTGCTTGCTCTTTTTCCTTGCATAAGTCAATAGATGTGATGATGATGTTCTTCTCATCCCCCTCCAAAACAAAAGCATCCGAACGACCCACGTAGCATCAGAGGCCAGTTCGTCGCCACGGGTTTGTTAAGACGACGGTGGAGCTCCGGTCTGCACTCCATACAGCTGACCTAGGACCCAAGCCATGCTGATTGCAACATTTATCGCACCTTTCGCAACTTGGGCCAACACCAGTGGACAGCCATGAACACGAAACTATTTGGTGATTAGGAGCTATAAAGAGCCAGTATCCATATTCCCCTTGAAACAGGGAGCCCTTTCGGAGCTACAGGCATGTCCTATAGAATCTTTCTGATACCTTGTTCTCGGTATGAAGACCTGGCGCTGAACACCTGGCTGCACCAGGCTGGCTTGATGTCCCATGAGGACTGTGACGTCGCAGCTTTTTGGGTCCGGCTCCGCTGGGGTCCGGCCGTGAGCATCCCATGACTTGGGGAGTAGGTCTGGTCAGCTGGACTGTCTTCCACTCCAAAAATTGGATTTGTTTCATGGGCTTGTTAGGCTCGGTTCCCTTCAACATGTGGGCTAGACGGCTAGACATGGCTAGACCAACGGCTTACTTAGTAGTCCCTTCAACCTCATCTCATCCAAGGCTTTGGGTCTTGACTCCCTCCTCCCTCCTCCCCTTCTTCCATCTCTTGGAGCGGCTTCCGAAACACAGTCTCGTGGAGCCTTCTAAAGCAGTTGATGGGACACCTCTTTGTTGAATTGGAAGGACCTTTTAGTTCGACCACATGATGCACTTGTTTGTCATGAGTTGAAAGTTGCTGCCAGGCTCCTAGACACTGTCAACATTTGTCAAGCATCAGCAAGAGCTAAGTGTATGGATTCATTATTGCTCGAATGCTGCTGAACTGCTGGTTGTTTGCTGTTTGCTGGTTGCTTTTCGTTGGTTCATTGCTTTGTAGTCAACAATCATGGCTTGCCGTGCTGCTCGGCTGTAGGACTCGGAGCTCTCCATGGAACACCTGCAGGAGGCCCATTTGACGGATCGCTGTGTCATTTTGGTCGGCACCTCGGAATGAAGAGATATGAAGATGCACAAGTGGTCCCACCACCAAGGCTTGGTTGCAACTTGTGGGATGCGGGAAGAGTTCATTCTTACATGTTCTTACTGGATCTTGGCTTGTTGAAAGATTTGTTACACTAGCGGGTCAGCAGGGAGTAGGAACCGACAGATGGGATAGCTGGGAAATCATGGGAGGGAAGATTCCATGGGAGGTTCTTTGCCATGTGACCCCCATCATGGTGCAAAAGAGCGGAAAGCCAACTAAAGTCCCAAAGCATCCCACAGAAGAGTCACATCAACACGTTTTCCATTGTTGAATCCAAAACCGTTTCAACTTGACAGCGTGACACACATTCAATTGTGTTCATTTTGAAGAAGGTGGGGGTGCGTTTCCAACATAAACCATGGAACATACAAATTGGAGTGTTCCACGTTCTATCCACAAAAGGATTTTCACAAAGGCTATAGTGCACAATTCCGCCAGTAATGGATCAAGGCTACACTACATTAGAGTTTGACACATACTTGATGCCCACGTGAAGACTTACTGTAAGAGTTTAGAGAGATTGTGCATGTCAAAGCCAATCAATCCCGCACAAGAACTAACCCTATGAATCCACATACCCTTTGAGAGGGTGATTGGATAGACCTTTATGCATGCTTTCAGGTTCCAAGTGCCTTCTGAGCAGGTCTGTGAACCCCTGGTGTCACATCGAAACTGACAACCCCCTGCCCATCGAACCGGCAGAGCTTAAAGCTTACGAACCAGCTTTGGCTTTTCGGTCCAGCGTCGGTCTACCAGCCCAACCAGACCATCGTCGTTTCGACCGAGTCCGTGGGTGACGAAGACTCGTTTGATGCGCGCCAGGTCTTAGAGGCGCTCAAGGACTCTCAAGATTGGCAATGGCAGAAGAACATCCACCACGCCACGGAACTCCTGCAGAAGCAGGTTCCGCGGTCAAGACCGGCCAGACCGGCGGTCAAGACCGGTTCCGACGGGTCGTGGTTGGGGTGGGGTCTGAAGGGGGCTCCATAGATGTCCATAGAAGTGATGCCCTCTCTGAGACATCCTCATAGAAGAGGTGAGTTGGAGGTGAGCATCTTGATTTATATAGTTTAGTTATAACTAATATATAGATATTGATTAAGTTATATTGCAAAGAGGGCGCGGCATGGTTCTTCACGAGCTCATGGATCCAACATGTGCATAATTGGGCATTGCGGGACAGAAGCGCAGGATCCCTGAAGAAGCATATCCTAAACTTTCAGTGCCAGTACGAAAAACAGGGTGTGATGCAGCTTTGAGTCCTCAGAACTTTCTGAGTTTAAACATGAATGTTTGTGCTCGCATTTCCAGTTGGGGAAGTTGTGAGAGGCAGAGGTAGATAGGCAGAGACAGAGGCTCAGGGACTCAGGGTTGGACGGCGCTATCCCTAAGTCCACTCTCTGAGTTTGGAGTGTCCGTGTCGACTTCGTGTCAGTGATATCTGCGCTGCAGGTCAAGGCTTGCTTCAAGAACCGTGGAATGCCGCTGGTGCGGCAGTAGATGGGATGCTGGTGATGGATCAACGTTGTAATACGTCAGGCTTTCAGGGTTTACTATGGGTCCCTTCCCCTAGTTTTAAACGCGGTGATACGGTCCATAGCATATGTTATTAGGTTCTCGCGATGTTTTAGGTGTATCCACCAGGCTTTGTGACGCACGCAGCTGGGCACCTCCTCATTTATGTGCACTTGCTGCATCATCATAATATATCACAACCACTTCCCTGAATGTTTGTCAACCCCTGGACCAGGTTTTTGCACCCTGCCAAAACTAAAAAGAGGCTTAATTAGTTAAAACTGTAAAAGAAGTGTAACAACAACAGAAACACCGTCAGAAGTCACCCTCTCCTTGTGATGAGCTGCGAACAATGTTCCTCCAAATCCGCCGTGCGGACCCTGGACTGCTACACTATGCGCACCCACTTGCAGCAGCAAGTGAGAATGCCGTGTAGCAATTACAAACATTAAGAAGCCTTAAAATGGAACACCGTCACATTGAGCACATCGCACAACTTGTGGGTGAATTAGACTAAACTCATTTCAAAGTTGCTTTCTTCCAAAGAGCTTCCTTCGGGGCATGTCAGTGGCTTTGAAACGGGTGTCGATTGTCTCCCAGCCGTTGTCTTCAAGGGATGAGGCCTCACAGGTATCACCGGATGATGCACAGACAGAATGAGGTCATCAGGCAGAGAAGGCAGTGTTCGCCGCCCATGACCCTTGAACGAGCTCATTCATGGGGTTCTGGCGGAAATTCATGGTGTTTGCGCATCAGTGGTCGCCAGTGGCTGACTGCCAGGGACTGTCCACTTATTCCGATTTGCCCAGGATGGATGCCCAGCCCATGCTTTTGGACCTCATGGAGGCTGCCAAGACTCATCAGGCACTCCGTGTTGCGCCTGCCTGGTGGTGCGGGTCGGGCCGCCCGAGTGGTGATTGCCAGCCCCAAAAAGAGGCTTTAATCCATGGGCCAAGTGCTGGGCTGCAGTTCAGTTGTGTGGACGATTTTTGGTCTTAAACACTTGACGACGCCCACCACTGGTGTGCTAAAGAGGACCTTTTGGATCCCGATCCTTGTGGTTTAGAAAGGGATTTCCGACCCAGCCAGGTCCAGCTCTGTCCGAACCGGTCCGTGGAACCGTCAGGTGACGGATCAATTGACCCCGCTCTTGGAGAAGGCCTTGTGACTCGGTGGTGTGGCGCTGCGGCTCGGGGGGTTCGGCTAGGTGGCGACCTGGTGCCAGGCCTGGTGGCTTGGGGCTGAAGAAGGTGTGGATTGTTAGGGTGTTGGGTGCTGGGGCTGAACATCGGTCTTCTAGGGTTTGGTCGACCTCTTGCGGCGTGGGCCGTGCAGGAGGATCTAGCATTTGCCATGGCCTTGACATGGCATAGATGTCTAGCCTCGTCAATCGAAATGATAATAGCAGGGGATCAATCACGTTGGTTGTTCGAGCTATGTGCGGGAGGTGGGGTGAACGTGCTAACCACTCATGCTGGGAGGGCCTTTCGAGTGCACCAGTGCACAGCAGTTGATAGAACCCAAATTAGTCCAACCAGGGAACCCAAGATGAATTGTTCCCCCAATAGGCTTAGGATGGCTTAGGTTCTTTTGTTGCTGGTGTACACGCGCGGGTACACGTGATCAGCTCAGATCAACCAGAAACTGAGGTTGGCAGACACGTTCTGTTCCCCCCAAATCACCGAGGCGAGGTCATCTCGAAAAAGGTGGTTCACGGACCAAGCCGCAGAAGGAGACGGACGCCGTCAAGCTGCTTGGCTAATGAAGTCATCGCGTTTAGAGTTGATTGATACAACCCGCTCAATTTTGGATTATAACATCCCTTCACATTGGGGGTTGAAGTATATATGTATGCCAAGATTCTACATTTGGTGGTGCTTGCCTTTTGATCGCCCTCTGTCTACCCCCAACATGGACTATGGTCAGGTCCTCTACAACCCCGGTGGTTTTGGGTTCCATGTGAATTAATGACCATGGGGCCACAGACACTGTATATTATATACATACATAAGAGACAGTATTTACACATAGCAGTCCCAGCGTGCTGCAGTATACAGGTGTGTTTATCAATGCGTACAGCAGGAGCAAAGGGAGGATACCCGTCAAAGTATCAAGAAAACAGGTAACCACAAGCATGAGTATGGTATTTGCTTATTTTTCCACGAGCGTGGTCAGGCTGACTCCATGTCGAAGCCTGGCTAGCAGCTGCCCCCGCCTACTCAGTAAACTGTGCATGGATTCCTGTCAGAGGTGGTTCATCAGGATGATTGGCATCTACATGCAGGATCATGCAGGATGTTTTTTCAACCTTCAATCTTCACTGTTTTATTGACTTCCGCATCTTCTGCCAGAGGATCTTCCAGCATCCCCCGAAAGAGGCTCCTGCAGATCTCGCTGTGCGCGGAGAAGCTCCAGCTGTCCGACGTCCGTGTGAAGGCCATCGAGGCCAGGACGCCCGGACGAGGTCGGGCGGGCCACAGGTGTCCAGGTTGGGACTTCCAATGGGGGATGCGTAGGGGCGACCAGGGGTGTTGCGCATATATATATAGTATGTTATATATTCAGTAAGTATCAGTAAGTTGGTTTTTGACCACATAATTACCTATTATTACTATATAAAAATATATATTATATATATATATATTATTATTGTATTGTTGTGTTGACTGTGGATGAATAACCCCCCCCTGCCAGAATAGCTTTGGGTTTTATATGGTTTCTATATGTTACCTCACATTGGAGTGTATGGGTTGAAAGCCTCAAGCAACCTTTGAGGACCTCAACACGGGGATCTGAGATTTGCTTGGAATTCCGATGCTGGAGCGTCCAGGGACATGGAGGGTTTATAGACTCCAGTCAACAAAGAGTGGATCACCCGGGGATTGGGAAGCCCCACTAGAATCCAACAGGTGGAATAGGGTTAACCGCTTCCACGGGGGGTCAGAGGCCTCCCCAAAGTGTATTTAGCTGTACTTTCCGTGATGCTGCAGATATGATGAGATATCTAAGTAACAGAAGCAAATACACTCCCTCCAACAAACATGGAGGTGATTTGCCTTCCATGATGATCTGGGTGGTGGGTTCTAGACAGTTCGTTGGTTCAACCTACTTGGGATGATCTCACTGACTCATGTGCTTTCAAGCCCCTATAGGGACCCACACCTTCTCAGAAGGTACTTGAACCCTCCAAATTTAAAGCTATATATACCCAGTCTATAGTAGGTTTCATAGACTCAGCTGCCCCCCAAATCAGGGGGTACTTTTGACAGTCAAGACTGCAGGGCAAATACTTACTCAGACTACAGGGCAAGTATAAAAGGTGTCTCCACTCACCGGTCACCAGCTCCTGTTCCGCAGGAGATGAAGCGTTCAGTGGAAGCGATGAAAAACAAAGGCGCTGGGCCCGAGGGATCGGGGCGAAGACCAGCGTGCTGCGAAGACCAGCGTTGAAGACCCGAATCGTCCAAGCCAGTCACCGGCAGGAAGCCCCGATCGTAGTAGATCTACGTCCGACGAAAACGGGCATCCGGAGGAATCCAATTGGAATGAGTTTGGTGCATGTGTGTGCATGAAAAATTGAAAGTTTTGGACCAAGACACTGGAGATCTTGAGATCCTATGAGATTGTTTTGATGTTTATGGCGATTGGTAGAGCAACTGCTGTAGGTGCAACAGAGCGACACTTGGTCAGCGGCATATTTTATAGAATTGTGGGATGCTACTAGGAGCAAAGGGCATCGCTACGAACGGAGCAAAGGACGCTACGAACGGGGCTCCTGGCATCGCTACGATCGGAGCAACATCCTGCTTCGCTTTCAGACGATGTCATCACACACCATGATGGTCTCTCATGGCTCAGTGGAACAGAAGATTTTGACCTTGGTATGGAATATGATGCTTACATTCGCCCCGCAAACCGCCCCAATGTAGGCAGTATGGCTTACGTGGAGTGTTTGGGTATGGGGGAGGCTGTGATGAAAGGATTGAATTCTCCAACATCCTCTCACAAGGCGGTTTCCTTTCCTGAGTGATTAAATCCCAAGAAGCCAAGAAGCGGTCCAGGCCTTGTGCAATAGGAGTGCCTTGTGCAACTTCAGAACTTCCCTGGACTTACGGTCGACGGTCCATGTCTGGTACTGGACCAAACCTCTGGTGGTCCCTGACACCATCTTTTCGAGCAAAGCGCAAGCGCGTGCTGGTGAGGTGCCGATGGCTTGACCGAACTACGTACCTTTCAGGAGCTGGCCGAGTCGAGTCGGGTTTGGCAGAGCAGTGCCTTTCAGCAGTGGTCCCAGTGTCCCCTGAAGGGTCAACCAGTCTAGACTAGTTGGACCAGGTTTGTTCTCCGAGTCCGTTGTGACCGTTCTTTGTGCCATGCATGGACACCGATAATCCGGTCAGCCATGATGTTTTCGCTTCCATGCGCAAAAACACGGTGCTGCACTAGGACGAAGCTCAACGCTTGGATGCTTTGGCTGCCGTGGAGTTGGCCACAGAAAGCTTGGCGCAGGTGGAAGAACGTCACTGGGCCAAACAACTAATAAAGCCCATCAGAGCCCTGCGGTTTGCTTCTTCACCCGTTTCTTTCTTGGCTGCCTGAATCACAGGCCTTGGACCCGTTTCCTTGGAGCCCTTGGCGCGGTGAAACAAAGAAACCCATGATGGCAAGTTCCATGACCGGTATGATTTTGTTGTGCTCTACCATACTCTACCCACTGTAGAGCCATGGTCACGACTGGGAAGCTGGCCAGGCAACAGATCGCTTTTAAGCGCGTGTTGGAGGAGGAGTGGTCATGTTCGACCACCACTCGGTGGTCGTATTCTTACTACTTACCTTCTCTGACGTTGTTGGGGGGTTGCCAGACCGAAGAAGAAACTGGGACGGCCATGTAAGCAGACGGATGAACACCTGCGTTGGCCCTGGGTTTGCATTCAACAACTGTTAGGCAACTGACTGCAGGAGGATCACAGCATAGCATAACTGCCTTTGTTTGGCACGGGAAGGGGTTGGCGCAACAGATTGGCCCCGATGACAAGGAGGTCCGACACCTTTCGACACGGGATGAAGTATGTTTGAACATGGCTGGGTCCATCATCCATGAAAGAAGTACATTTGCACCTCCGAGTTGCGCAGACAAAAGGCTGCTGTATAGCCAGTCAGCTTTCCTACACCTATTTTTGACGAGCCAGCACCCAAACCTTCTTTGTTAGATATTCTAATCTTAACTTATTATAGTCCAATTGTATACAACTGCTCCCCCAACGACATGATTCTTGATACAGTGTTGCTTGCCAGTGCAAGCCAGGTTTCAGTATCCCTTTTTTGAGTTGGACGGACGGCTTGCTCGTTTGATTGAACGAGCCCAGCACAGGAACGGTGGCCCAAAGAAGGCTCCCCGAATTCACTGGCTTCACCAGATTCAAGTGAACACTTCATCACCGTGCATGTTGCATTCTTGCTGTTCTTCTTATTACCTTGTATATAGGTTAGATTTCGACATCCAGGCACCCCGCAAAATCGACAGACAAGGGCTTTTTAAGTCGTTGTTGATGGTTACTGCACAACCAAAATGGTCACAAAGGCCTTGTAGATGATAGCTGCCACTCACAGATTCAGCCGCAACTTGATCTCTCGTGCTCATGGGCCTCCTCAAGAAGATCAAAGGCCCTGGTGCGGCGCGGCGCGGGCTTTCCGCGCCCGCGGGCGCGCCCGTGGGCTCGGGTCCAGCTGTGGAGCGTTTGGGGCGGCGGAAGAGTTCCAAGATGTCGGAGCTCTTCCGGATAGTGCCCACCCTGGCGCTGATCGGCGCTCTGGTGATAGCAGTGGCCGCCCTGCTGGGCAAGACAGTGGAGACGTAGGGGGCCCCAGTTTGCTACCGGAGACGGACGTGACGGCTGAGAGGTCATGGGTCGTCATTGGTAGCACCGGGTGGAGCTATCTTCATCCACTGTTGCACGGGCCCCACAGATTTATATATCCACAGAATCCCCTGCTTTGCCCCTTGCATTTGTCAATATCTTCATATTTAATGTAGACTCTTGATTAATACACCCCCGCCATATGAAAAGTATTTCCAATTAAAACGGGTGGGTTTATGAATCAAGAGTCTACATTACATTGTGTGGTAGTCATTGGGGGGCAGTTCTTGGAAACCGGAGTCTCTTGGCTCAAGTGGTCAGGATGAGGGAGCTCGAAATCTAAACGATGCCCGTCGATCTGACCATTGCCGGGGCCATGGGCCTAAAGGCTGTGGCGGCAGCAAAAGCTGCATCCGCAGCTGCCAAGCAAGCAGCTGCACAAGCCATTGCCATGGCGCAGAACACCAACTTGGCAGCCTTGCAGGCAGAGCAAGCACAGGCCAATTTGGAAAAGTACGTGTATGGCGTGCCGGTGAGTTCAATCCCACCATCGGTGTCGCCTATGCCACCAGCTGCCATTCACCCATATCCCATGAAGGCTTCGATACCTCCTGGTATGCTTGGATTCGCACTTGCATGCAATTCCAAGTGCGCATGGCAAGAGCGACGACCAAAGCAAAGTCGCTCCAGGGTCGCAAAGAGAGACCTGGGACATCACTTCTTGTAAATGCAGACGGCGCGCTGCTGGGAAAAAATGATCGTTGGGTTGGCCAACCAAGATGGAAAGGCTGGTGCCCTGGACCATCCTGGTCCAACTTGGGGGAGGTAGAGGCCGCACGTGGCCCATGTGAGTTCAAGGGGAGGATCAACTCCTGGAACGCGATTTGGCCCAAATCCTTGGATTGGTGCGAAATCTACAGGGAACCCCATGGTTTTCACCTCCCAAACCGATGGGTTTCCTGTAGATGTGTCCTTAAAACAATTCTGAGGTCTCCAACACATGGGAAGTCAAGGGCAGGCTTTTGAAGAGACGGTCGTTGGGGGGTTCATGCTGATGTAGTTAAGTGATGTTAAGTGCAACATGGGAATTCCTGGAACCTCATAGAGGAACCTCATGGAGCCTCAAGGTTTTGTATGCCTTAAGGTTTGGTGCTGCAAGTCGAGTGGGCTGTCCTATATTTTATCTACATCATTCATTCTGCACTTATTTACCTGCACAGACGCTTCAAACTATATGACCGTTGGACTGCCAAAACCTACAAGAATGTGGCCAGAAATGCCTTCCCATTGAGGGTCCCGCCCCAGCCCTGAGAGCCCATGTTGGTCAAAATTCTTGGTATGTAGGGATGATATGGGATGTGGGCCACTATTTTGTTGGCTTTGACCGGCTGCACGACCACCGGTGGGGAGCTTTTCACGGAAGCAGCCATTGACTAGATGGATTTGGGAGACCACTGTTGGTTCCACAAGTTGGTCTTTGCTTTATTGATTTGACCTCGATCCCAAGGTATTCAGCCTGAAAGACACTCAGTCTGGTCAGTCTGACTGTTCTAACCTCTCAGCGACCTGTATAGACTGGTCTTTTCGGACGGTCGAAGCGTTTCCGCAAAGGCCATGTGGCTTTTTCCTCGCACAACTGCACCCGCCGTGGGCCGTTCAATTATATATAAATAATAATAGCAAATAATACCAGGAATTAGAGACCACATGGGACTATCACGGTCGCCTGTAGCGGGGGTTGCACCCGTGGGCACGCGTGCTCGGCGTTTGGGATGCGGCAGGACTCATTTTCAGCACTTGCGCCGGAAGGGTGCCTTCTTCTTAACTGGCCCTCCTCCCTTGCAGCAGCGCTTGGCTGCTGCCTTTGGCAAGGACCATGAAGGGTTGGGCCGACCAGTCGGATCATTCCACACCTTGCATTCCGACTTCCCCGGCTTGGTGGATTGATCCGATACGATTCAGCCGGAAGTACGTGGGCTGATCCGTCGCTGGGAGGCTGAATTTCGGTCGATCAATCCGGATGGGTCGACACTCCCTCCAACAAACATAGATTTGGGCAACAAAACAGTGAGAGCCCCTTGAAAAAACTTGGTTGGTAAACAAAACGGAAGCTTTTTCCGCAGGGGCCATGATCACTTGCATGATTGTTTCAGGGAGTGTGTACTGTGTACTCCTGGTTATGCTTATGTAAGCTGATGGTTGATGTTCCCTATGGGTGAACCCCTGGTTCCTCAAGCAAATCCAAGTGTTTCATGAAGAGATTGCTGTGCAGATCGATTCTCCGCAGTTTGTCACCGGGACACATAATAGTTTAATGTCCAGCTGTGATTAAAGGACCTGTAGCAGAGCAAAGAAGGACAACTCTTTTGTTTAATCACATGTGAAAACTATAGAAACCACGTGGAGGAACGACACGTAACGTATAAATAGAAATGTGACACGGCGCTCTGTTCGGTTTCATGTGCAATCGTTTTTGAATCGATGTACTTGAATCAAGACTTGGCACCATACTCAGAATTTGGATCAGCCTCATTAAGTCATTCATTATCCCAGGCACGACCTGTTTGGGACTGTCATATTTGCTGATCAGTTGGGGTGGTTGATTTCATGGATCAATGTTGGCATAGTTGTTGGCAAATATTCACTATATTCCACGCACATGACACACACACAGATATATATATATATATATAGATATGTTTTTTTTGTATATACCCCACCGGCACCCTCCAACAGGTCTCTAGAATAGTCAGGGTGACCCATTGCAGACCAGGGTGCTGGAGTGGACATGGGGGGTGCGGAATTCATGTTCCCAGTCTGCTGAGCGGGTTCCAGCGGCTTCCCAGTCGGGCAGCGGCCAGGAGGTCACGGCGACCACGCTGGCACCACAGCGCGAGGGTCAACCACTGCGCGACTCGTCGCGCCAGGGTGGTTGTGGTAGGTGTTCATTCTTTTTTATCCAGGGATTCACCCATGTAACCGGGGATTCATATAATTATCATGTGTTTGGTGGTTTTTGTTCTTGAGCCAATGGGGTTTCTTTTTGTTAATCGGATGTTTTACAGGTTTGTTCAGTTCTCCTTTCGCCTGGAAATCCTTTGCACATCACCAGTGAGACATCCTTTCCAAGCTTTACCTGAGATTGCTTCAACTTGGGACCGATGACGTCCAGATTCAGATCTTTTGCGTTGCCCAGGCTATGTGCCAAACAGCATGGTCTTGGCAAACTCAATCGCAATGCAGGACCTGCATTGAGCTGTGACGTTCTGAGTTTCAGCCAAAGACGTTTGGACTCGGAGGCGAGGTTTCGGTTCTTTGTGTATTTTTTGTGTTTTTGAGTTATATATAGGTTGTTTGTTGTGATGTTGGGTTATCGGCGTTTGCTTTTTGAATTCAGGATTGTTATTGTGCTGCGTTTCTTCATGTTGCCAACGACTTCAATCAGGGTTCACCGCTGTTTCACCTGGAAACCGCTGTTCTTTTGTCATCTCCCTCATCTCCGAACGCGAACGCTGGGTTTACCGCTATGCTGCTATGCGGTCTCCCATGAGTGCCGCTTGAGCCTTTTGGCTCAAGTGAAGCATGGACACGGCCCTTAGCCATCAGCCCATGAGCATCATATTATAGAATTGGTTGCGGATCAAGTCAATCCACGCAGAAACATGGTAGACAGGTGAACGTACTTCCAGTTGACCATTCCATTCAGTGGATGTTCACAATATCAGGGTGCTGAGTGTATTCCGTCCGCATCCTCGCAGCCTGCGGATTCGACCCGGCTGATGGAGTGCTTGGCCGGCGCTGCTGCCTTGCAAGCACAGGCGCAAAGCTGCCTTTGCAGTGGCTTGTGGCTTGGTTTGGGAGAAAGCCCTTTGAAATACAATCCATGGCCTAGGCAGGCTGGAAAAATTGAAGTGAACTTGACAGATAGAAATGGAGAAAGAGAGGGAGAGGGAGCAAGAATTTCCCCATCATATAGCATATGCGATTTAGTTGTATTGACACTCCTGGAAATAGTCATGGAAGTCCTTTACAAACACGGGGTGCCATCCACTTCCATGATGTATTTGTCGGATGGTATATATGTTTTTGTTTGTGTTGCTTATGTTTGCCGGAGTCTTTGGGCCTTTGGGATGGGTTCGCTGTGACACTTGTCATTGAACGAAAGAGATGCATGCAAGGCGTCGCTGCTAGGTGGCCCGACGAATTGCACCCGGATGGGTCTGGACGGTGGCATTACCAATTGCAACGTTTTGAATTGCATTGAGCCCTTCCAAGTGGAGCAGTGGGAACAGATTTTGGGATTGCCACGAGGTGTTTTTTTCCAACTGTGGGTTCGTGCTCCATTACAATAATTATGTGTTTGGGTATAGTTCTCGGGTACTTCTTGCTATTTAATTTGTCAACCATGCGTGGGTCAGATGCGTACAGGGCCAGCCGAGCCAGGGCCGCAGCACGTGTTGATGTTCCGTTCTTTCCTGAGGTCAACTTGGGCTCACATGCAGGCAAACAAGACCATTGGATGCGCCTGTGACAAGGCCCTGGAGAAGCTGAAGGAATGCATTTATGGCCACCATGGATGCGACGCCCGGCATCGCATCACGTGATGGCCTGATAGACGTTGATATGAAAGCGCGGTAGAGTCGAGGCGTCCCTGTGCGACGGCCGTCTTTGAGAGAGAGAGAGAGAGATGTTGAGGTATCATATGTTTGTTGTTCTTTTACCATCAATGTCCCAATCGTTGACAGTCTTCTTGTATTAGGCGTGTGACCATGTTTGACCGCAAGGATACATTTCAAAGCATTTCAAGTATGTTTTTATTAATTTATGCGATCTCCCTTGCAGCCTGTCTTGCACCCTTTTTCACACTCAGGAGCTAGGCCGGGCGGCGGAAGCCTCGCTGGAGGAGATCCTGCGGGGTGAGCCCATCAGAGCAGAGTTCCAGGAGACATGGCTGTGGGAATGGGCGATGTCCTTTTGTCACGTGGAATGGTCTGGAAGTAGCTGGGGCATTCACCAAAACATGCACACACACACATATATATATATAAAACAATATTATAGCATATGCTATCTACATAAACATGTATGCATGTATGTGTATATGTGTATTTATAAATGTAAGTAAACACTTTGTATTTCTAGAAGCCATAGGGAGTAAAGGCTTATACATGGATCCGTTCGTCACTTGTCAGTCGAATCTGGCCCAGATGAGCCAGATGAATTTGGGGAGCTTCCCAAATGACCGATGCCTTTTGCATTTTGTTGCATAGCTGGATGATGTAAGGACCTCCTTGGAGGTTGGCAGGGGTGATTCTTGTACTTCTGCAAGCCTCGTTGCTGAGGATACCCAGCTGAATCTGGAGGAGCGGGAACGACCGTGAACAGAGTTGACCAAGATGGTCAGACTTCGTGAAGGGGAACCCCCAACTGCATGTTGGATGTTGGGTACTAGCAATTTTGTATTCATTGAAAAGCATGCATCATACATGCAAAACAGCAATCTATGGGAGGAAGGGAATTCAGAGATTGATATATAGGTTGCTTTTTGCGTGACCCATATGAACTGGAGGTCTCTGTCCATAGCGCTGGAAGCAATGTGTTTGTGTGTGTGTGCGTGTTATGACTCCAAACTGGACCTGTGTGGGCCTTGGATGATCCTGTGCAGCTGCTTTTTTGGGAGGGGATGGCCCAAGAAACCAGCGTCGCAGGAATCCAGGTCATGCAGCATGATCATTAGAATTCAACATCTTTCTGATATCATTTGCAATGATCAAAGAGTATCATCATCTCCATCGTGGGCAGAAACCAACAGAGTGGCATCGTCACACGAATCCAAATGATCAACGCGCGAATCATCGTGTGACTGTGATGAGAGACGAACGCGCGAGTATCATCATCACCGAATGACACCGTTTACACCTACCCGAGTCAACGGAACTATGGACACATCACCCAAGGCGAGAACGATTTTTTTCAAGTCCGCAACATCAAGCTGAGATCCGACTGCTGTGTGGGACGAAAGATCTACAACTGAGTCTGACATCAGCACTGCACCATTCTGCACCCTTTTGCTCCCAAAGAATGTGAAACCTCCCCTCATTCACGCTGGTTTGATCTGGTTTGGACCTCTCATGACCTCTTCCGTGTCCAGGAGGCGGTGGAAGAATGCACCATCAAGGCAAAGGAGTGGACGTGGCAGTGATGAGAATGATATGAATTCTGAGAGGATTTGAATTCGGTTGGGTGATACGCTCCATCCGCTTGGAGGTCATCGCGGTCGTATATAGGTTGGAGGCCGACCTAGGGACCGTTCCTCCAAGCAGCAAGCATCTATACCAGGACCTTCCAAGAGGTGTCTATAGATAGCCTCTTAGAGGTTCAGTGGTGCCCAAACACCACCGGATCTTGGAAGGTCCTGGTATAGAGGCATGTCATAACGGGCCGACCGAGCCAGCTCCTTCGATCTTTGAATCTCTGAAGACGAACATGGCCAGGGCTGTGGAGGCTCAGAGGCTCACGTGACAGGCCGTAAACGGAGGCCTTACTTGAGTGTGAATTGGACATCATCGTTTTTGGGAAGGATATTGTGGCAGGTCCTGCGGGGAATGAACGTGTTCATTTTGGGGGGGAACCAAAGTGCAGGGTACCTTATAAAATCACCACCCGGCAGCCCAAATGATCTTTAGATTTTTGATCCACACACATGCCTTCCCAGAAGGTACTTGGACCCTCCAAACCTTCCAAACCTATATAAAAGATATAAAAGATCATATCATACAAAGTGTCTCCACTCTCACCTCAGAGGCTATGCGGATCCGGGTTTGGGAGGAGCTTGTGAAGAGTTCTCCCATTTTCTTCTTCGGCTGCACTGGGCATGGGAAGTCCAGGCTCATCAACAGCCGCTGGGATGTTCGGGTTTCGGGCCGAATCGGCACAGATTCATAGATTGGTTTCATGACTGAAACATCGCTTTGATGCTGTACTTCCTTAATGGTTACTGTATCCTATGTTATCCTACTGAGTTCATTTCATTGCGAATATGTTGAGTGATGTGTTTTTGTTGCTATGGCTCAACTCATGGGGGCGTGGCTGTGGATGGTGTTCTTTTGCTGTAGCAGCATCACATATGTCCAGCATGAGGTCTAAGTCTACGTTTCTGCCCAGCCATGATGTTAATCGCCATCAGGAACCTCTGGTATAGACGGGCAGCCTGTAACTGGTCCGGGATTGAATCGTTCAATCTGACACTCCCTGGAATCCTCCATGCCAGCGCCATGCTGGCCATGCCCATCCACAAACGACGAGTGGCACCGTACGAGCACCCGGTGGAATACATCGGTTCAACTACTCGTCCCGCACCATGGATGGTCGTTTTCGGGTTCCACTCGGCAGCGAATTCGTGTGTTTTATCTTGTATGACCAACTCCGATAACATGAGGTCAAACGTAGGAATACTTGAACTGCTATCCCCCAAAGGTGGTTTATATGGATGCCCGGATCAAAGCCATCTTTGGGTTTGTGCCACCCACTCTGAAACCATTGCATGTGCGTGTGTTTTACTTATTTTTAATCATGTATAGAATGTACACTATAGTCTCATCCGACCAGGTGTATAAGTTGATGGCTCAATACTTAAAGGTGTATATGTTGATGGCTGTCACCGCCTTGAAATAGTATGCATCGACACCGCTCTCCGACACCGCGCTCCGACGCTTTGCACCGAGGCCTGCTCCAGTCGCTGGGCTCCAGCGCCCGCTGCGAGGAAGGCGATGGCGGACGCTGCACGCGGAGGGTCCAAGGCTACGAGGTCCGCCGGGCGTGGCGGAATATGTTTTTGATTTGTATCGGAACTCCATGTATAATGTATGGTATGCACGGACCTATCTTTGATCTGCCATACTACCTGCAGGGCTCAGGGTGAGGTCGAAATTTGCATTCACAAGCCATGCCATTAACTTTCATGCTTGGGATGAGGGACGTACACCCAAACACTCCATTACGGACCTCATGTCGGGGTTTGCACAAAAAAGCACTCCATGAGGTCGTTCGCACCAAGTTTTACTGGGTCCTTGGACTGGTGGGGTCATGCAGCATGTAGACTCTCAAGGCTCAAAGCCCTCCCACATGATGAATTCTGTTTTTAAACAATGAACATGGGACTTCGGGTGTTTGCTCATCCAGAATCTACCACCACATGTGACTCCACCGAACCTCCGGTGGAGTCACACAGCAGTCGGTCTCGCCGAACCTCAGAGCCAGGTTTTTGTCGAGTCCTGGAGCATGCATGGCTTCAGGGAGCGCGTCCTCCTCTTCGACACGCCAGGCCGTGCGCGCGGCCATTGGTCCTGGCCGGCTTTTTCTTGTTTGCCATACAATCTGTTGGGGGTGGTGACGAAGGAATGCACCAAAGCTTTGTTTGGGAGGCTCAAGATTGGCAAGTCAGGGAAGTTTCAGATGATTCAGTCGTGTTTTTGTCATGTTTGTTTTGTATCATCCTTTAATCCTTTAGGTGTCCTCATTCCTGGATGCTGGAGAATGAGGGTCTCATGGGCTTTGGGTATACCGTAGGGGCAGCGTAGGCCGAACGAACCACCACAGGCCCCAGACCGCATCTCTGACAGGTCACAGGGTACCTTCTCAGGTTACAACTGGACCCTCGCGCATACATCAAAGAGTCAGCCCACCACTCAAAAAGATGGTGGCACAGCGCACCCATCTTTGGCCCACCGGGATTGGATTGGATGCATGTTTGGCACCGTTTTGGCCCCGCTCCACAGACCTCCGGTCCATGAAGTCGTGGTCCGACAGGATGGCAGCTCGGGAGCGAGGCGCAGGCAGCGCCCGAGCTCGTGCAGCAATGCCTCGGGGAGGCGGAGAGGAGCCTTGGACCATCGCAGGCGGTTGATAGCATGTCAAAACCACATGAACAAGGCCGCTTTTTGTCCCGTTACCTAGGAGCAATGGCCTCCAACCTAGAAGCAATGGCCTCGAACCTCATAGCCGATGGCCTCGAACCTCATAGCGATGGCCTCCAACCTAATAGCCGATGGCCTCCAACCTCAGAGCGATGGCCTTCAAGCTAATATAGTGTACAGTCATGGCCTCCAACCCAATAGAGCATAATTGCCAAATGGTTACATATAGCAGGAAGCTCAGCTCAATTTAAGGGATTCGGGTTTCTACATGTTCTCTATTTGCTTTGGTGCTCCTTTTTGCTCGGAGGGATGACGATTACTCAAAGAGACCTTCCGTATAGGGTTGGATGGTCATCCGTTTGGGTAAGCCTCAGCTCAAAGACCATCCAATTCAAAGGCGCCTGGACACAACGGGACAGAAGCAGAGGGGGAGGTGCTGACATTTGCGCAGATGTCAGCGATGAAGTCTGATGAGAAAAGGCTTGGTGGTGCCACGTCCACCTCATGATCGATGAACGTGATGCTACCTGCTACCTCTGAAGAATGAGAAGAAGAGGATAAGAACCTGTTACTATAGATGCTGCAGGTGCAAAATATGTCTTTTCGGTAATCTTCCCATATCTTTCAAGAATCTTGGAAGAGACCCGTGCTGAAGGTCGTAACACACACATTGTCTGACCTGACGCGTACCTGTATGTTCAAGACACAGCAGAGTTCCCGGACACTATAGGCACAACATCAACACACCAGCTGCACCAGCAACACACCATGCTGTACCTCACATCGTTCAGGATGGGGGTGCCACCCGAGATGCTGCAGGAGCGTTTGGTCTTGGTCCTGGTCCACCAGGCCGTTTTCGCCCGCTGGGAGAGGGCACCCATGTCCATAGCGGACATGAGAGAGACAGGTGGCAAGTTATACTGCAACATACCGCAACAAGTCATTGATTTAATGCGGGTTTTACCCAAGAACTATCGTTTCAGATCCTTTTGGTAAGGATTTTAGGCTACCACGGCAGGTCAACCAGTCTTTTGGTCTTTGAAGGCTACTCATTGGCTCCGTTGAATGTTGGAGCTGTCCATTGGATCACCATGGGTGACCCAATCAGTTCAACCTGGGGGCCCTCTACCAGGCCACCATCGGCCACCATCGGCCAAGGAGTATTTATTAACAGCCCCTTGGAGATTAAGGGGTGGCCATGAAGTACCCCTTAGGGATCCTTATAGGGGTCCTTTCTTAGGGTTTAGGCTTCTTGCCAGGAGCTACCTTCGTAGCTTCGTGCTCCGTTCACAGCGATGCCATTTGTTACCAGTAGCTTCTTGTTTACTAGTACTAATGCCAGGAGCCACTAGAAGCGTCCTTGTTACTAGTAGTCATGCCCGGTTGGCCACCGGGCCCCGCTGAGATCTCCGCCCCGCCGATTAGGCGGAGTGGATCGAGCGAGACGTGGAGAACCCGAGTTTCCGGGAGCTGGTCGGTGGCCTTGTTCGGGCCGCAGCAGCCAGGCGGAAGGGAGTGGCGGATCGATGCGGATGGATGGATTGATCCGAAGGAAGTTGGACACATTCGAAGACCATTGACAACGGTGACCAATATGGTCTAGCTTAAGCTAGATCACTGTGCAAGGAATTGGGAATACTGTAGACGTTTCCTTTGATTATATATATAATCACCACCCATTTTTGGTTAATCAGTCAAGAGCCTATATATGAAGTTAATAAAGTTGGACAAAAGAGATAGCGCCAAACAACTCTAAATTACCGTCACGCCCTTAAACAATCCTGGCCATTTCGGATATTTCGGGATGGCATAGCGCATGTGGTTGCTATCCACATCCATTTGCATTGTAGATTGGACCCCGAGGATCTCCCAGCGGTGAATTCTCCTCGGAAAAACAAGCTGAAGAGGAATCAAGGAATCGGAACCGTGCCGGAGGCGTCTTTTTGGCAAAAAAAGCGCACAATGATTATACACGGTCACACGGTTAACTATACACGTTGATTGATTGAAACCGCTGCAAGGAGAGGATTCGCCGTTTGCAAGATCTCCCAGCGCCGTGCTCGGATTCCACCATGTGTTCGGGCACGAACCTGCGTGCAGGTGCACCCAGCAGCCGGTGCTGGTGCCAGTCTTGACCAAGAAGATCAAAGCAGTTGCAGTTCAGGCCTTTTCGATCCTTGGTGTATTTTTGGAGGCTGTGGGAGTCACCATGAGTTACACATCAATCTTGCCTAACCCATGCTGGCCCACATACTGATCTCAACGACGGTAGGACTCCGGTGCTCGCACTTCGGTCCCGTCGACCGAGCACTCGGGACCGAGACTCCAAAAATCCGCCTGGCAGCAGAGAGTCAGAGTTTGGGTTCCGCCTGGATGCGCTCAGGATGAATTTGGAGGCTTGGAAGAAAGAGCTCCAAGGAGGGTCCCAGTTGGAGGTCTACAAGGACAGCTGCCGAACATACCTGGAACGGCTTTTCAGGGCGCCGAATGCGGGATGAAGATGGATGAAGATGGATTTATGCATGATTGTGGATGGATTTGGGGGGCGAAGATGGTTTTCAGATGCAGAAGTTGCAGTGTAGAACAACTGATGCGTGCAGACTTGCAGATGAGCTGAGCCCCCCAAAACCCCACACCGAACCCCCGAGAGCCCCACAGAAACATGGTGCTTTCGGTGCTGATTTGGTCAAGGTGCCAGTATATGGTCAACAAGGGGATTCACTAACTAGACTGGACACGCAGAGTCTTCCAAGTACTGGGGTTATATATATGGTTATATAACCCGAACTAGGAGGTATAGTCAATTTTGATGTGAAAGAATTGAGCGATGCAAGGGGAGCTTTGGGAAACGATGGGGTTCTTCTCTTTAGCCACAAGCAGTTCCTCCAGGCGGTGTGCAGTTCGAGCGGTGATGCCTCCACGCGCGGCGCAGCCGTGCGGCACCTGCAGACGCTCCTGGCCCAAGCGTCGGCGAAGTCATCGGGCAAGATCCGCGAGACGGTCACGGAGCTCATCGAGGCAGTCTGGGCTATCCAGAGCTCAATCACTCCAGTCAGTCATTCACGTGTATTTATATTAAAATATCCCAGACATAGTTCCGTATGGAGGGTTTACTGCGGAAAGAAAGAACACAAAATTATGTTATGTGTTTTCTGGTTTGATGGGTTAACTCGTGTTGATCAACTCCCAAGAAGCTATGCAAGGCAACGGATGTCACCTGATCCAAACGCGACTTTGGATGATATAGGTGCTGGGCGCAAGCAAGCTAAGCTTCTTTTCGAGCCCCGCCTAGTCAGGGGGACAACCATGTACTGTAATTGGACGGTAGCATAAAGTCCAAGTACACGATTGTAGGACAAGTCATAAAATATGCGGATTGTTGTGGCCGGATTTGTTTGGCAATTACCTGTACAAACGGTTTTGTGCGTCCATGGACAACTATCAGCAGCCAAAGGAGCAAGGTACCTGAAAATGCCACTCCGGTGAACAAGTGAGGCAATTATGTGATCGCTTCGGAGGCAGGTGTTTTGGTGGTACCCCAAAACAAATGACAGACCTTGTCAACGCGAATGCACCGTAGAGATGGTCAGGTTTTGGAAATCTGAGGAGTTCGCTCACACTCAACTCACACATCTTCAATCATCTTCACCATCCCTGGAGATACACATCCGTTTGTGCTCCCTTTAGGAGCAGCTCCGGAAACGCTTGCAGAGCTGGGGACGCCTGGGCGACTCTCCCCACGCTTTGGCGCGGCGTTGGTTGTGGCTCGCGGCCCGCCACCGCGCGGTGCGGGTCAGAGGCTTGGGCTGCGAGAACTTCGGCGAGAAGGTGTGGGAAGAGGCCGAGAACATGCGCAGGAGGTTGAAGCAGGCGGGTGGGCCATGGCCGAACCAAGGGGTGTCTCTTATTTGCTGTCTCTATTATCAGTCTTTCCTGTATTTGGGGACATGTTCAATGAGTCAGTGTCGTGTTGATTCATTTTGTAAGAATTGGGGTGAGTCCAGACAAGTTCAGGCTGCTCCTCAGTCCCCCAGTCTTTGCTAGCTTTTCGAACACCCGGGCTTCACTCGGGCGGGTCTTTTCATGTTTTCTCCTGCCTCAGTAGATTCCTGAAATGGACAATTCGCGGCAACGAACACATTTCCGCAGCAAACAGTGGTATTTCCGCAGCTCGTCACCGAAAAAGATCACAATCCCAGGAGTCACATTAAAGGTTGTTTTTAGTCCCCAAGTGAGTGGAGCAGCTGGGCACCCCTATCCTCCAAGTTCGGCACCCCGTCTTGTGGATTTTCATGCTTTCTCCGTGCGCGCCCGATCCAGGCAGCTCTTGTGGTCGGCTTGCCCGAGGCCTCCGGGGACTGGCACACGGACCAACTCCGCAGCACGTGCGGCGCGAGCGGCGTGAGCCGCGGCTGCAGCACTTGCAGCAGTTGCACGGCCGAGGGCGGAGGAGGCGAGGAGTGCGGAGGAGGCTGTGGAGCAAGATGAAAGAAATCCATGTCAATGCAAGAGCTGCAAGAGTGCAAGAGATAGAGATCTTAGAGGGACGAAGAAGAAGAAAATGATGAGGAGGAGGGGGGAGAGAGAGAGAGAGAGAACGTTGGGATGTAGAGTGTGTGACCAGACACAGTGGGTGGGCAATATGGCATGGTAAAGAGTGCAGGATCCACTCCATATCTCCTTTTCCATTCCTTGGATGACGATTGCCCTCTACAGTGTGGGCCTGTGGGCCATCATTTTGCATGTTCCGTGTCCGTCGGAGTGTGGAGACATTGTTCCTATATACAAATATTGTTCTACTACCACTGGATTTGGTGGACCTCTTTGAAATATGTTGACAGTAGTGTTCGACCAGTAATTGGCCAGTTGGCGTCCCAATGATTCGTCTTTGATCTCACATGGTTGAAGACCCATGTGAGGTTCCTCAGACCCAATCCGTGGCAAGACCCGCGGCTTGGCTAGGCTTCCAATCGAATCCCAATGAGTCGTGGAGCTACGTTCGTCGCTTCGGTAGCCTACGTAGCGAACGGTAGCGATGCCCTGGTTCCGCCGGCCAGGAGCCCGGTGGCTCCGTTCGTCGCGTCCGGTGGACACATCAAACCACCCACCCGGCCCACCCGGCCATGCTCGGGCCCTTCAGGCCCAACCCCCCGGACGTTGGCCACGCCGATGAGAGCTCAAACCCGGACTTGGGCCACACAAACGCCTGTGCTGCCACCGCGGCCGCCGGGCAAACCTGGAGAAAGCACCGGCCACGCGGAGATGTGATACAGTGCAAGTGTGTGGCTGGTTGTGGTTAGTAGGAACAAGATGATTCAATCGTGTTGAGATATGTCCACTTCACTTGGAATAAGAACTCGCCAAGTGAGAGGCTGTTCCAAGGCAACGTGCCCATTTAGTTCTTAGGACTTCAGGCCTTTCATAGAGCCATACTGTAGAGCTCAAAGCAGCTCGGTCGCCCTCTCGTAGAATGTTCGGACCTTCGGGATGTCCACGAGCAGCAGGCCACGTCTTCCACACGCATGGGCCATGGGCACGTCTCCTCCACTTGAACAGCTTGGAACAGCTATAGCCTATAGCAACAATAGCTGCTTTCAGATGAAACTCCTTGAGGCAGCCTGATGGTCCAACTGATGTTTGGGACACGGCCTAATCATTCCTAATCTACCTGCCTCAATCTCTTGACTTGTGTTTGGGGGACATGATGCACACTAACACACACTCCCTGAAATAATCATGGAAGTGAATGGCATGGCCCCGTGCATTGCCATTTTCCGCATACCAATCAGGTGGTTTCACGATGGTTTCAGGGAGTGTATTGAATGGCTATGTGTCAGCTGCCGATGAACATCCGAGTGGAAGGTCCGGCAGGGGACGAGTGGCTCAAAGGGGTCCGGCCCAATCTGCCAATGACTTGGATGTGTCCCATGACCTGTAGCAGCTGACAAAAGACTATCCCCATTTTTGAGAAAGAACCTTAGTAAGCATCATCATACACTGTTTCAGGGAATGGGATATACCCAATGAATGACTGCCAATGCTCCAGCAAACGAGTGCAGGCCCTTGATTTGATGCTGCTGGTGGGCATTATCGAATGCATGAGACAGGGTGAGACATGTGGCTGTCCTTTCTATTCGGAACCCAAATGTTTGTTAAGAGATGTTAAAAGTGAGTTAAGAGTGTGTTTTTTCATTGTTTGTGAGGACGGGGTACAGAGATGTATGATGATGTCTCCGACATTTGGGTCTCCAGGTCGGCAATGAAAACACGATCGGCCCCAGCCTCGCATGGATCCAGCTGAAGCTTTGCACACTGGCGTTACTTTTTTCGGTTCTCGCGCTGGAATAAGCAGGTGCAAGTGTAGGTGTGATTTTGAGATTGCTGCCAGGATTTCAGTAGTGAGTGGATAACCTTCCCAAAACCGTAAACCATTTGCTTGGGGGATAGCTTTCCCCGGTTTCAAATCCAACAGGTTGAAAGTCTTTGTTTCACGTTGTTTCTTTTACGTCGTTGGACCTGAGTGTCTGCGATGTGCCTCCTACAACAGGGGGTATGGGAGATGTCAACAGGTTGAAAGTGATTGAGCTGTTTCCGGATGTCCGGCTCGGGAGTGGTTGCGAAAAACATGCTCTCCAGGAGTGGTTGCAACGAATCCCCGTGGCTGAACGAGAAGTGCTCAAGAGGCGCCGGTGGGCGTTGGAAGGTTCACAAGGCTTGATGGGCCAAATGATGGGGTGACTCTAGTCGAAGAGGGCTGGGGTAACCGAGAGACATAGACATAGACATTCATGGACTTGCCCTGTGTAGGGAGATGACCAGTGCTTTGAAGTGTGGGCAAGCGCCCTTGGAGAATGCAAAGATAGACACCTAGCCGAGGCCACACACACACACACATCTTCATGAGCCTGTGGGCTTCCTCATCGTGATCCATGTGCATGCCAGTGGGCTCATGCTGTTGATGGACCAATTCTACACCAATCCCGAAATTCAACTCTTCATCTCGGGGGTAGTGTAGTAAACTAAACGTCCTGCAGGCGATTAGGGTGGCTTTGGCTCCAAGAAGTTGGTTCCAAGATCCCCGTCTGTTAGGGCACTATTTTTTCCTGAGGCAGGAGGTCGTTTTATATAAATTTTGATCTGCCCGGTTGGCTCCCACAATTATCTCAATCCACAGGATTTCATAAAGATTGCATGGAAAATCAGCCTTCAAAGCAGGATTTCATAAAGAGTGAAACTACAGCAATTTATAAAGACTGAAGTCTTTCTCACAGCTCTTTCACTTACAGGATTTCATAGCCACATATATTAATCATATATAGCTGACCTTGGAGCTGTCCTACGTGAAGCCATTTTGGCACAATGTTGGCGACCGTCGACACCACAGTTTTAGGAATTTATAAGTATAGAGTTCTGCCATTCCCGGGGAACCCCCGGGCAATTCATTGCCTTTCACGCTGCCACAAGCATGCTTCAGCCACAGGATTATATAAAGAATCAGCGTATCTTGATGAACCTAGGACCACCCATTTTGTAACTCCCCAGGTGTTGATTTTACTGGGGATTTCTTATAAAGTCTAGGGTGCCAGGGTCACCCGTCCAACCAACGGGGATTTCCAAGGTCAAATGGAGCCAAAACATGTCCCAAATTCACAATCGACATCCAATGCACCAGGAGCCACCTGCCTTCGTTTACATTTCCGCCCCCCCAAAACCGCGATGCTCCACCGAAACCACGCCGGTCCAGGTATCTTGGCCTCGACCTGGCCACTGCCGCCCTGTTGCTGCGCACCTCAGGCGCAGAGAACGGTCCCTGCTGAACCGTTGGCTTTTGCGCGTCGGGCGCATGCCCACATCAAGGACTTCCTTCCACCCAGTCCTTCAAGACTCCACCCAGTCCTTCAAGACCCTGTTTGGCAGTCGAAGTGAATGGTTGAGTTGTCTTTGGTGCCCGAGGCGCGGGGTGGAAGGAGTGAGCAACAATGGAAAAGCAGCTCTTCAGCGCCTCCCAGTCAGGTGAGGCTTTCAGATAGATCCTACCCAGTCTGTAGTTTTAAAGAAACGGTGACCTTTTTGGGGGACTGGATTCCCCACTAAAAATGAAAAGGTGGAAAAGGTCATAATATAACCTGTCCATTTCCTGGGCAACTGAGGGGATCAGAGATAGACAGGAGGGTTTGGTTGCCATCCGAGTCACTGGGGTGTTCTTCACAACATCCATCGGATCCCTACAGATACTGTCCTACATACTCATATACCTCATACATACATATATATAGCCAGTCAGCTAGTCCCTACATATACATATAGCTTGCTCCTCACCCAAGAAAGAGTCCAACAATCATCACCACATATCACCACATCCGTTGTCTACGGACCTCGCGCTCGCGTTATCGGGGAGAAGACGGACCGCAGTTGAGGAGCCCGGGTATCAACCCACAGCACCAACAGCTCATAGCCCAGGCATCTGGAGTAGGCCGAACATCATCTCTAATCACTTGAGAGCAGCTGTTCTGATGTTACGAGGCTGTTGAGCAACTTTGCCGCATAGGTCTGGGGATAGGTCTGTGGGAACCGTCGGAGACTGCCGAACTCTTCGGCAGACTCAGCGACCCATTTGCTTCCAACATCTCCAACATCCGGAAGATGTCCCCAGCAATACCCCAGTCACATATTCCATTTTGGGCGCTCAAAGCTTCAGCAGCTGAAGCTGGCCATGGCCAGCAGACCCAACTCCCCCCCCCCAGTGTTTTGCGTCGCTTGGCGACCGCTGGAGAGAGTGACAAACGCAGGAGCTCGTGGCAATGGCTCGCAGCCCGAGGTGGATTCTTGGCTGTCCGTTTCTGGTGTAGTTCTAAAGACTGATATTTAGTGTGTACCAGGACGCCCGAAGGGGCTTCTATTGATAGCCCCTTAGATTGTTAGGGGTGTCCATTTATCACCCCTTTGGGGTCCTGGTATGTGTTTTGTGTGTTTTTGTTGTTTTGGGTTTCTTAGTGCAGGACCTATCAGACACTCCATTGACCCCCAGTCCCATGGAGTGGCTTGGGTGGAGCGAGCGGCCAAGGATTGGATCCACTCGTTACCCTCCTCCTGGCCTTTCATCGGGTCGCTGGGATCCAAAGAGGGCGGAGCTGAGCTGAGCTCAGCTACCAGGTCAAAAAGGATAGGAGGCCGGAGGTGACCAGGTGACCAACCCAACGCGAGAGGAGGCCGTGACCAGGGTCCAGTGACATGGAGTCCAGGACTCGGCGGCCGTCGGACGATTGTTTGTGAGTTTCTGGGACGTCGGGATCGAGGAAGGCTGGATGCTTAGGAATGTCTTCTTGAGGTGGGTGTTGACCATGAGGTGAACCAACATGTTGGCCGATGTTGGCCAAGAACGTTCGCAGGAACAGCATGCTTCGGCGAAACGCGTGAGATTTTTGTGTTTCAGTTGTTGCGCTGCATTTCGTATCTTCCAACCAAGCAGCCGTTCATGTTATGCCTATTGAGTTTATTGTGTTTTTTTAAATGAACTAGGAGGTGAAAACTCAATCTCCTCTTCAGAAGCAACCCTATCAACTCCTCTACATGGGAGCCCTTCGCCTTTTTAGTGAGCGTAACCAAGACAACTCCTGTGCTTCAGACATGAGAGCGACCTCAGCGACCTCACCGCTGAGGTTGCTCACCACGGCGCAGAAGACGATTTTACAGGGCACCAAAGCTGAAAGGCGAGGGGAGAGTTCCGGCCAGTGGACGGCCGACCACCAGTCGGACTGCACGGAGACACCCTCGGCATTTGGTAGATCCTTCTGAGAACTTTAAATGCTGAGACTCCCCTACACCTCCAGTCGTACCTTCTGAGAAGGTGGGACTGGGGTGGGTGCCAGGAGGGTCCAAGTACCTTCTGAGGAGGTACGACTGGAGCCCTAGGGACTCTGAAAGTGAAATCCTTTACTCTCACGAGTGCAGGAGATCCCATTCTGAAAGTAAATGGGAGCTTTTCCTTGTAGCACGGAGTTGGTGGAAAGGTCGAATTTAAGAATCCCTGAAGTTTTTCCTGAGCAAATCATTAATTACTTTGGCTCCCGGGCTGTGCAGATTATGCACGATGCACATGCTGGTTCTTCTTGATGTTGGCCTACCGCTTCCACTCGTTTGGCTCAGAAGCTGGACGTGCACGAAGAGAGAGATTTG